TGTGAAAATAAATTGACCAAAATACCCTTAAAACTTTTCAGGGTTATTTTGGTCAATTTATTTCATGTAAAATATATTTTTGATATTTTTCGTAGATTCGCCTATTTTTTATGAACATGTGCTCCAAATTGCAGATCATTCCTATTTGTAAAAAAAATAAATAAACCGGTCATTTGTGACCGTGCGATGAAATTTTGACGGTAATGATAGTAGGCGAAATCAGTGTTCATTTTTTTCTATAGCCGTTGTATAGTACTTTCCATATATATATATATATATATATAAAGAGAACGAGAATTAAAATTAAAATACAATACGCCCTCTCTATGAATAAGACTTGATGGTAAAATATGAAATCTAAAACTACTTCAAAATTTCAATAATAAAACATGAATCTACTATAAATTTACGCTGGAAAGAGGTGGAGAAGGGAGTATTACTCCATTCAATGGAACGGAGGGAAGCACAGATTTTCTGTAGAAATCTAGTGAAGAGGGGGGCTATATATTTATCCAAGAAATTCGGTAAACAAGGAAATAAAAATAGGTTTAACGTAATGAAAACCTCGGGTATTAGACCTTGAGCCCGGAGGCTCATGTTTGTTGAGTTTTTTCTTAACAAGGGAGTAACTCATGTTTTAACTACCGGCCCAAAAGATATGGACAGTATGCTCCTTCATGAGCATGAAATCTTTTGGCTTGAACAGATTTGTACGGTGACTTTTTTAAATGGTAAAGGTTTCTATACTTTTCCTACAACATAGAAGACCTATGCTTCTCCTACCATCCTGCTGTCCAATTTTGATCAAGAGAATCACTCACCGTTTGATCTTAGATCCGACGATTAAAAATATTTTATTTTTAATTTTTTTATAAAAAATTTATGAATATGAAATTTGATATATGCCATCTTCTAATTGGGGCGCAGCTATAAAAAATATTAAAAATAAATTTTCTATAAAATATAATTACCAAAATACCCCTTGAATCTTTCAGGGGTATTGTGGTCATTTTTTATTGAAAATATTGGTTTTATATTTTTCGCTAGTGCGAGTTTAATAGAGGATTGGACATTTAAAATTTAGTGTCAAAATAATTTATAAAAATAAAAATAAAAATAAAATAATGTAGAGAAGTGACATTGTGATTGAAACAATCTTAACCCTCCATTCAAAATAGGCGGTTGGATATAGGGAAATATATAAGTTTTATACCGTGAGGAAAGCATAGGAAGCTTGCCGTTCTTAAATTATCTCCGCGATTCTATTCTAAGGTGCTATCATTGGCCAATCCTCTTATACCGTACTATCATTGGCCAATTCTCTTATACCGTACTATCATTGACTTTGGTTATATTTAAAGTAGAAGTCCACCACACTACATGTAGCATGTTTCTTGTATAGTAAATTACACTATTTGTTCCATTGTCCAATCCAGCACCCCTCATCTCCACCGTCCATTCATAGAGGCAAGTAGTGGAGGTGGAGGCACAGTTCATCTCCGCGGTCTATCCATGTAAAAAGAAGCATGCAGGAGACACCAACATGTTGTGTAAAAATATTAGTAGTATACTATACGTAGCATTGTGGAAACCCCTAAAAAATAAGAGAGAATAGATGACCTGCTGGCCTTCTAAATTAACCATAGGAGTATGTAGCATTGTGGAACCCCTAAAAAACATGAAGTAGAGATAAGAGAATAGATAACCTGCTGGCCTTCTAAATTAACCAAAGGAGATGCCACCCATGTAAGATATTGAGAGGGAGGGAATCTCCTATCCTTATATATTGAATTATGGAGTGGTAGGGTTAGGGGGGAGTTGTTGAGTACATTGGTCGAGTCGATTTTTTAAATACCGTCTAACTCTTTTTTTTGTGAAAAAAGTGAGAGAGTTTGTGGATGAAGATGGCGATTCTGAGATTTGCGGGTATGATAGTAGTGGTGATGATGGCTTTGGCTTCTACTCTGGCCGTGGCTCACGATGAAATGGGGCCATCTCCCCACATGCACCACCCCGACTCCGGAGCTGAGCATCCACCCCTCGGCCTCACCATCTTATCTGCTCTCCTTTTCCTCTCGTTCTCCTCCCTATTCTGGGCTTGAGAGCCTCCTCTTTTAATGTTGTTTCTTGTCTTGTACTTGGCTTCCCTTGTTGCTGTCTTGTGGGTTCTAAATATCTGATTATTAGTTTGTCGCTTTACACAAGGATTTGTATGTTGTACAAGGGATGGGGTTCTTGAATAAATATGACACAGATTTGTGTGTTGTACCAGGGATGGGTTCTTTAATAAATATGAGTTTTTGGGATCTTTTCTAAGAAATTGGATTTCATCTCATCTCCTTAATCATCCAAATAAAGCTAGTACATGAATAAGAACCCCTTTGCTTTCCCGTCACAAATATAAGCAGCCCCACAAAAAGATCACATTGGCATTGCAATCCTTCTCTTAGAAAGCAAGAACTACATCTTTTTCGCAAATATTATAACACAATCCATCTGATATTCTTTATCCTCTTTGTCCAAATGCCTACAATTTGTGAAATGCATATCTTGAACTTGTAATTTTGGTCATGAGACCACCATATGCAGCGCCCATATACGTATAACCTCTGTAGTCTCTTCCTTTGCTTCTCTTGCATGCTTCATATTTTAACAATATCGATTTGCTTTTGAGAGTCCTGAAAAGTGCTTCCAGTGGCAGTAGGGTAGAGCTATGCCTTTTCATTTAACATTTGTGACCAATGTTTGAAATAAGGAATTGGTGACCCCGATCTACCATCCAGAAAACTGGTTTGGATCATAGTTACCAGGAGCGCCACCCTAGGGTAGCGCTCCTGCTTCGGAATATTGCTTTGGCGTTCCGGAGCAGGGATCTCGCATGGAACCCATTTCCATATTTTTGGGATCTTGCCCCAATTTTTAGGATTCTCGATCCTATTCACAACAGAGCCTGCTCCCGATACTGCACGGAACTTCGTTCCTTAAATTTTAGGATCTCGTTCTTGAATAAATTAGATATCTGCTCCCAGAATTTTAGGACTGCGATCCCTACATATCCGGAACTCCATCCCTATTTTCCCAAAACATCCTAAAAGAAAAATCTTAAATAAAATTAATTTTTAAAATAAAATAATTATATTTTAAGCCAACATAAAAGTGGAGTTCTGCAATGGGAGCGTGGACTAATCATGCACAGAATGGGATCCTTCCTTGAATGGAGCATGATCCTTTCCAAATAGGAATGCGGTCATTCTTAGATGGGGGCGCGATCCTGTTGTTGATAGGAGCACGATCATAATGAATATGGGAACACGATCCTATTTGACATGAAAAGCATTCCTGTTAAATAGGGATCTCGATCCCGATGTATTGGGAACGTGCTCCCTGTTCATACGAGATCTCAATCCGCTACTTTTACCCTCACCAGAACTCACTCCCCAAGATCCAGAGCTTTGGGCAGACGTCGTTCCGACACTCCCGCTCCCAGAAGCAGAGCCATTCCTGCTCCTGCTCCCAGTAACTATGGTTTGGATCAACGCATCAATGATCTGGATCAATGGAGTGGCCGCATCTCACCTTAAAAGAAAAATTTCAAACATCATTATAAAATGTTATTTGGGCTTTCAAGAAATAATTGGGATGATACATTATGAATTTTCATTTCGTTTCCTTTTTGAATGTTTGTTTATCAACATTCCGACCATGCTTTTGGGTATTATTTCATGAGGCTTTTCTCACTCTCTCTAGAGATACTAAGGGAGGAAATATTGGTTTTGAGGTGGGTCTAACCACTTTGCTCTTGTGATCTCAATTTCTATGTATTTCATGTTCTTTGCGATGTGATGATAGAGAAATTAATGTTATGAGGTAGGTATATGCGTATATGCCATTTGAATTTTGCAATAATAACATAGTGGCAAAAGATCTAGCCTACAATTTTTCGGTTTTAAAGGAAATAGAAAAATCTAGGTGATTTCCCTTTACTTTTTTTATAATTGGAATGTTGGTTTTGTTGTCCAAACTCTTGACAAAACTTACATCTTACTTGATTGTCTTTCTTAACTGTTGGTAGAGAGAGAGAGAATTATCTACGGAGAACAATTATATATGGACACCTGTTAAATCTAGGAATCTATAGAATAATATGTTGCATGTCAATTATTTATTGAACAATACATCGATAAGATATTGATGTTTGTCCATCAAAAATAGATTTTAAAGAGGTAATACATCTATAATAGGACTAAAAATGGGATGATTCAGATAAAAAATAATAATTTATTATTTCATCAAAAGATGTTAATAATAAGTTATTACCATATCACATTTGAGAAATTAGCGGAGCTATTTTATTTAATCGGTAACTTGATCAAACTCAGACGCAATGTCTCTCTCTCTTATGTAAAGATCACTTGAGAAAGAGAGCAAATATTCTAGGGAGACCAAAACAATGTGATTTAATTTAAAATAAAATAAAAAAATCAAAGTTTAAAAGCTTTTATACTTTGATTTAGTTTCACGTCTTAACCGTTTGTTTGGGAGAGGTGTCAATGCATGCCCAAAATTAGGCCTACTCTTGCAAATAATTTTCACGAAGGGAGCAGGAACTGATCCCCGACATAAATTAAACAAGGGAAAAGATATACCAAATAATACCCATGTTTTTAGTCCCACAGGGGGTTCAAAGAATAACTTGCAACCAAATGGACCGCTCTGCCAAAATGACACATACGGCTTTCGCGTTAGCCGTTGCTTCTTGCTTTTAAATAGCTATCAAACCAAATGATGGATCATTCCCGACGAGGCAATGTCCCAAATTAAGCAGAAAGAACTTAAGAATGTAAACGAATCAATATATTATTAATTGCCAGCTACCATATGAAAGGAATCAAAGAAATGGACACCTGGAAGAGTGTGAGAGAGAGACTACAATGAGCCCCATCCCATAAAGGAAGAGCGAGATAGAGGCTGAAAAGAGCCCCACCCCAAAAGGGAATTCCGAATATCAAATGAGTGTGATACGCAACTTCATCTCTTCTCTCCATATCATACAATGGAAACAAAAAAACAAACAAGAGCCTATAAACATTAAGTAAACTGTCCACCACCCATCCAACAACAACAAGAACATCTGCCCGTGAGCTAAATCTTAACTACCTCTTAACAGGATCAGGGTGGACGATAATAGAACTCAAAAGAGATTTCTTACTAGTAAGAGAACTCATGGCCCTTGATCGAAATATACTTCTTCGTCCATATAGCTATATCCTCGGCACAAGCCTGGGCTTGTGGTGACTTTACAAGCATGTCCAGGGTCGCAAACTCATGAACTGCATCCTTGTACTCAAGCACAGGAGCATCAATGTTCACTTTACGCAACTCCTCAGAGTAGGCAATTGCTCTATCCCTCATCCAATCGTGCTCCGCAACCACAGTGAGAGTTGGAGGCATGGACCTAAAGGGTGGCTCCCTTCCAGGCACCAAGGGATTGGCAGCTGGGTGGTCTAGACTGTACTCATCTTCTGGTAAGAAGAGTTTCCATGCTAGTATGCACATAGCCTTGTCGTAAAAATAGGAATTAGCAAGCTTAATCTCTGAATGCGTTGGTACACTCCCTATGAAGAAGGGATACAAGAGGACTTGAGCAACCACCTTGATGGGGTCCAACAGTTTCCCAGCCTCAACTGCCTTACGAGTGACGAAGTCTGCGATGTTTGCTCCACAGCTCACTCCAAGGAGAATGCACCTGTACAAGAATGACCCAGTTATACATCCATTTGAGAGAGAGAGAGAGAGAGAGAGAGAGAGAAGCACACATTATTTTTGCTCATAACAAAGAAAGATCAAAGATGGGAACAATTCATACATGATTTGTATAAGTGATTTTCCCAACCATTGAATAAATGTTGAATGTGCTATTTGAGATTTTGCAATGGCTTAAATGTTTCAGGTATTGAAAATTGCAGCACCAGTCCCAGGTTCAAATCCCACCACTAACCCATCGAGAAGAAGTAAACTAAACGTTGTACTTTTATAGGCCAACAAAGCCAATTCACACAGAATTTAAGTAAGCACCTGAATGCAACTTAAATAATTTTTTTCAGGTCAAATGAAGTGGAACCTTAAATAGGTAGTTAAGAGGGGAACTATCCTGCCTTAGCCTGCAAATAGTCTGACACAGAGCATAGTGTCATCTTAGTGCTGATAAAGTCAGATGCCTCAATCCTGGAAAACTGACTACTAAACTCGTGATCCTAACCCAGGGTAACTTGGTCCTTTTTCAATTTTTATCATTTTGAATGGTATGACATAAGGTATAAGGAAAAAGCAACAGCAAACACATCATGATCATGTTCAGAAAACAATTTACATGAAAATCAATCACCCCATGCCTCTTACACCATAGTGTAACCTACTACCATCTTAGGCTTGTTTATTTTTCATTCCATAGTCATCAGAGAGAACTTCACAAATTTCCAAATCAGTCTACTGGTTAGGGTGTATAGTGGATGCAGAGTTTGCCTAAATTGCAATACTCCCACATCAATGTTACATTGTTACGGCCTGTGTTCATGACAGCATAACAAACCTAACAGTTGTGTTTCGTCATCTACATGCTAAGAGTGAATGTGCAAAAGAAATTAACGCAGGATCATCAGTGTTTCATATGGAGTACCCAGTTTACAGAAGTGTAGCACATAACAATATTCAGAGATGATATAGGCAATCCCAACCACTGAATTACTTTACCCAGCTTTTTAAGATTATGAACTGTCCAGTAGGACCAGCTATATTGAACAAGCATCACACACTGTATAGCCCTCGGCAGGTGTGTAATGCACTCATTACAAATGTGAGTGCCTTTCAAGCCAAATCACCGCCTAGGCAGGTGCCTTGGCCTGCTCCTTAAAGGAGGAGAGAGAGAGAGCGAGAGCGAGAGCGAGAGCGAGAGAGAGAGAAGAATTCAATGATGTAAGAGAGAGAGTATTAATTCTACAAACCACAAAATACTGTCTAAATAATTTGAAAATAGAGGTGACAGTACTCATGGGAGTGTACTAGTTCAATTCGCCATCGAAATAAATAAATCAAGGAGCCCTAATTGTCTTAACAAGAGCATTTATTAATTCAAAAAACCCCAGTGTATGAGACCTAATTGTCTAAATGAAGGAGGGTCTTAACGCTATGAGCCCCTAAGTAGGACTCAAAAATTCGAAGTCTCACTGTAATATAATGAAACTACACTTCTAAAACACCATGTCTATGGCATTTGTATAACCCCAAATTTTGGGCACACTTTTTTATCCCAATAATCAATCTCAAAAAATTAAAATTCAATTTGCACCCTATATATGGTCAAAATAAGTCCCCTCTAATAATGAATCTAGACCATCCATGTGGTGAATTTCAAGATAAATGACTTTATCAATTCAAAATCAATTTTTTCTTTTTTAACATTGTTAATCTAACAAAAATAACGCATGTTAAAAAGGAAAAAGATCCTTCTAAGGCCCAAAACGAAGCATCTCACTAAAATGGATGGCCTATATTAATTGAGCTAAAAACCACTTTCTAAGTTGTGTTTTCAAATTTTGCTTTTTTGTGATTGTTCATTAGAATGAAAAGAATGCATATTTAAAATTTTGGGTTAAACAAGTGGCTCTAACATGTAATATAATGAAACTACACTTCTAAAAACACCATGTCTACGGTATTTGTATAACCCCAAATTTTGGACACTTTTTTATCCCAATAATCAATCTCAAAAAATTGAACTTCAATTTGCACCCTATATATAGTCAAAATGAGTCCCCTCTAATAATGAATCTAGAAGAACACACTCCTAAAATTTCAAGTGATTTGGATTTGTAGAAAAAAATTAAAATGTAAACATGAAATGAGGTCGTGACCATTAAATCGGCCCAGATTCAATCTGGGCCATTGGCGTTTACTGTAGCGGTCAGGGAGTGGACGTACAAAGTCCACTATATCTATATATATATATATATCGAAAGAGAGATTTTGAGAGAGAATTCCATTAGAGATTCTAGATAAAGAAAAAATATTTAGAGAGAGAACTAATTGCATTAGGCCCCTAATGCTAAGGTTTCAAATAAATCGAAGTGTAAGACTGTCTTTCTTTATGCAAAGTAGCAACACTCCTCTCTCTCTCTCTCTCT